GTCCGGCGCGCACCATTGCGCGCCTGGAACTGGCTTGCCACCGCCATACAAAATTATTTTGAGGGAGATAACTAGGCGAGGAGGAGGGGGTTTAGGAAGATTCAATAACTCAGTTGTAGGGTTTTTGATGTAGAACAAAGTTATGATAAGCATATGAAAAAATTATGCGAAGGAAAAGAAATTTATGATTTTTTCTTTTTACAGCCACCTCAGGTGGCTGTCAGGTGGGCTGTAAAGCCACCTAACTCCGAAAAATGTTTGCCGCGACTTTAGTTCACATAACTTTTTCATAATTTTTTGCACATAGTACTATCCTCCCATTGCCCATCTACACACCCGTTTTGGTGTCATTTCATTTTCACTTCGCTGTAAAAAAAGCCCTTTGCTTCTCCTTGTTTGGGAGACCATGCTGCCGGCATGCCGGCGGCGTGCCGGCAGCAGATCGAAAGACGGCGGTATGCTCTTCGGCAAAAACGATACCCCTTTGCTTTTTACCCCCCGAAACGATATCCAGTTTTTCCGGTAAGCCACCTGTGCCGAGCCCTGTTCAGGTACAAACGATGTAACCAGATCCAAAAACTTCAAGTTAAACTGGCTTTGTAATCATTTGCATCGTCATCATCTTCAGCAGTCTCATCCGGCTTCTGCTTAACGCCCATCAAATTGCCGAGTTTGCTTCCAGTAAGTTCCCAACGCTTCTCTTGAGCTTACAAATCTTCCATAATGTTCTCTTTCTTAAGTCGAAAAGAGTGGGAACTTTTGACAAACTTAGTCATAAACTCACCTTCTTTCTTTCTTTCAATTCTCGGAACTGCCTGACAACTTTACTTCCGCGAGCTCCGTCAAGCCATATCGCACGTTGTATCCACCATCGGTATAAATGATTTTGATTGCTGAAATTCACCTGCGACTCTGTGACTAGAAATAACTTTGAACTACTAGGTGCGAATGGCTGGGTTCATACTAATTCCCATGTTCTGGAACTGTTCGCGCACAATTCTCGCACTGTGCTGTAACTGTGCGGGAACTGTGCGGGAACAGTTCCAGAACTGTGCTGCATGCGCTGCAACCGCCCCGCACCGTTTTGAACGGCGGGAGTTGGAGAACCTTAACCGTTCTCAACGGTTTTTCTTTCGAATTTCTCTCATTTTGGCCTTATTCCTCCACCCCGTCTCCATTTTTGATCAGCCGAACTTCGAAACTCGAAGCAGGGTAGAAGAATGAGCGCATTTCTGCTTTGCGTATGCGACAAAATGAGTGTTCTTGGGTTCCTCCTTTTCTCTTAATTTTGGTTTTGTTTTTGCTCGTGATTTTTGCTCAAGACAACTTCATTTGTTCCAGAAAGCCGCTGCGCACAGTCTGCCCCAATCGGGATCAGGCCGAACCGTCGGCTGAATTTGCGCTCTCGCAGCGCTAGGGGTTTGCGCTGCATACGCGCGCTGTCGCAGAGAGCGAAGAGATTGAGGAGAGAGCAGACTAGCTAGACGCAGAAGTGGCGCGAAACCCTCGCGACGCGCACTCCCGCCAAGCCAATTTTTTGGCCTGGTTAGGATTGGAGCAGGCTATAGTTTCCACGGCCATCTGCCACGAATTATGAAGTAGGAGCGATTCTGAAATTGCATGAATTCGGACTTGTCCCTTGCTTTTGATGATTTTGGGCGCTCTCAGCCCCTTTCCTTTTTCAATATCGTTGCTTCTTCGTCCTTTCTTCTACCCCGCTTATCCTAGTGATGAGTAAAGCTGCGAACCTGAAGCGGGGTTGAGGACTGGACGCTGTTCTGCTTCATGTATCCGGGAAGATGGACCTTCGTGCGCTCGTCCATCTTCTCTGTCATTTTTTTCAGGCCTACTCCATGTGTTCTAGAGACTTGTCTATGTCAATTTCAATACAGATGCGAGACTACGCAGCGGCTTTCTGGAACACATGAAGCAGTTTTGAGCAAAAACACGAGCAAAAATCAAAACCAAAATCAAGAGAGAATGGAGGAACCTAAGAACACTCAACTATTCCCGCACATTTCCCGCACAGTTCCACCACAGTGCGAGAACTGTGCGAGAACAGTTCCAGAACATGGGAATCAGTATATATCCAGCCAATGCAGTGATGATTACCCGGGTAAAAACGATTCTGCCATCGAGAATTTGAGGCACTTTGTTATGGACAAGCAGGTGCACACGATTCTCATCCGGTTCGTCATTAAAAACGCTGGATAGTCCATCAGTCAAAGCAACAACTCCTGAAACAGTTTGCATAGGTGGATGGCTTGAAAAATTGCGAAAGTCTATATCTCCGTTCAAAAAATTTTACAGTTCCTCGACTTGTTCGAGAGAATTGAAAACACATCAGACACTCATATATGCCGTTCCTGTATATTTATCCTCATTTAAAAATCGAGAAGACTAAAACTTTCATGTTCATACAAAACGAATCTATGCTGTTTTCACTCAAGTAATTGTATATTACAAGCCCACGGAAGTAACCGTAAATTTTCAGCTTTCCGCAACCCCTAGTCTTCGAGAAATATTAATTTTAGCAAGGAACATTTGAGTGAAGAGAGCTAAATTTGATATATCGAAAACTAAGGCCTTTGAATAACTGAAAATCTACGGTTTTCTCAATGGCCTGTAGTAAACAATTACATGCGTGAAAACATCATTGATTCGTTTTGCATAAACATGAAAACTTTCGTCTTCATTTTCAAATAAGAAAAAATATACAGGAAAGGTGTATATAAAGTCTGATGTGTGTGCAATTTTTGTGAGCAAATTGGAGATTCCTAAGATTTTTTGAACGAAAATATTAGGTCGTTCCGAAAGTAATGTCGCTTTTTTCAAACGTACGCCGCATCTCGTGGAACAAAAATCTGTAGGAGATTCTGGAAGCATTTGATGCAGCATTTCATTCTCTTTCCAATGGTTATATAACCGCTGCACAAAACTTAATAATCTCTCGGAAAATTAAGAGAATCTGCGACCATGCTTTTTGAAAAGGCCAAGTTTCACAATTATTCCAAATTTTTATAACAACCCTCGAAAGAAGCCCAAGTATTGGATGGATAGAGCAAACTCTTCAGGAAACAGCACAACTTTTTCCTACCTTCCAGAGCTCGTCACATTGTTACCACTTAATATTAGCAGGCTCGTTTCAGACACAAATGCATCAAAAACCAATAAATTTTCGGATTTTGAAGCTTACAAAGGTGGATTATGGTTTGACACTGATTTTACAAGGCAAATGAGCGTTTACCGCTCCAGATTAGCAACTTTCGGGGATTTCGGATACAGTCTGGGGCGCCCTGGGAAACCTGAATTACAATTACTTCATCCGGGAAAACTTCACGAATCGAAAGTCAAAAGGAACTGGTGAAAAGAGGAGAAAAAACTGCATCGAATGACACCCGAGCTGCTTGCAGCTTATTGTTCTGTGAGGTTTGAGTTGACCAAATATGAAATTTGATGACATTGAAATTTGATTCCAGAAACTCTAAGAAGCAAGCTAAGGAAAAGAAAAAAATTATACTGTGTCCTGTAGGGACTGCTCTATCTACCTGTTATTTGTACTTTTCCGGAGAATTGGTACAAAAATTTAGAAAAATAGCCGAACTTGACCATGGCAAAAATACGAGTCGCAGGTTTTGGTAATTTCTCGAGGGCTCATCGAATATTTTGTAATGAAATAACAACCTTTAGAAAGAGAATAAAATGCTGCATGGAATGCTCCCAAAAACTTTTGAAAATCTTGATTCCATGATATTTGGCGTTTATTTCAAAAAAGCGACATTACTTTCGGAACGACCTAATATGAATTCTTCGCGATTTTTTGGCCTTTTGTGCGATTCAGGTTCTAGCAGTCTTACAATGGGTCGAAATAATGCGGGTTTTGCACACCATCTTGGAGAGCTTGCTTTGCTCTCTTGAATGGTGTCCTGAACCCCTGTTGAAAATGAAAACTGTTCAAGTTATCGACGTCAGAATTTAAAGTGAAGACTTATGCTAGAACAATAGCATACTCTTAGATACAAATTTCTATTTCACTTAATTTAATTCCCTACTTGATCATAAATTCTAATTTTAAATTTTTTAATTTTTCAAATTTTTTTTGAAATTTTGAATTTTAATAAAACCACGGTCCCATACACTAAAGGATAAGGCGTAGTTACGTGAGCAAAATTAGCTTGTACTTATTGTTAGTGCAAATAGGTGCAAACCAGCTTTGCTGCCGATTCACCTCTCATGAGCTCTGCTAGCTACGTTGCGGCAAGCCTTTTTGGGGTATGTAAGTTCCCTCACCCAGTTTAGTCTAGTTTGCTACTGTACAAACGTGCAAGTCGTAAAACACCGGATTAGAGATTTCAGTGTAAGCTATGAAAAGAGTTTAGAGTCAGCGGTTTGTAAACAGAATGTTGCGATATTGACGCAATAGTATTTTACAGTAGAATAACTCCCAGTGACTTCATGTTCCTGTAGTTTGATCACATAAGACAGCTAACAAAAGAGCGATGGTCTTCATGGCTTTTTGAGATGAAACGTACATCATTCATCACACTCGTCTTAGAACGTTGATTCCGAATCCGACTTTCGTTTCTGTTAATCGTTTTTTTTGAAAGAAGTTATTAAGGGTTTTCGTGTCAATGGTCGCCTAAGAGAAATACGGTCGAAGATGCTTGACTTTCGAAAAATGCTTGATTGAGGCAATCCAACACTGAAAACACGAAGGAACTCGAACCTGAACCTGCATTAACTTGTGAGGCTATCGCAGTAGCCATATCACATTGTAGCAGCTATTTTGGCATTCCGATCACATTTCTTTTGACGCAAAAATCCTCCATAACTTTTCTCAAAGAAAAGATTGGCAGAACGAAAGCCAGATTCGGAATCAGCGCGCTAAGACGAGTGTAATGGTGTACATACCACCTCAAAAGGCCAAGGACACTAAGTATCGTTTTCTTGTAAGAGGCCACTAAAAATTACTTGTTTTCCCGTTTATCAATATTGTTTAGAGGTTTCTGAAGAAAATGGAAAAAATGGGAATAAACCTTGGATTCACCGACGTCGCTGTAGGAAATTTAGAGGATTTAGACAAGCTTTATTTTAAGGTATTCTATGTAATTTTTTGCAGTACACATGCATTTTCGTATGGAGAATATTTACTGAAAGCAGCTTTTTCTTGCGGTTGCTGAAAAGAAATGTGACAGCTTTTCTTTGGCCGACTACATCTAACTTTTAGAGCAAAAATTGCTCACCGTGAAATTACTTTCAAAAATACCTCATTGTTTAAAAAACCAGTGCTGTGTTGAAAACAGTGCCCACGCTTAAAATTTAGATGCAGACATAGTGTGCAAAGTGCTATACTGTGACATATTTGTACTACCTAAACTCACGAATTCGTATAAGAGTTGAATACGATAACCGTCAAGCCCCTCATAAACACTATTTCCGAAAAAAAAAATTCTGTAATAATTTCTGTTTATGCTCATAACGTGCTTTCATTTCTGCTACGCAGAGTTGTTTAATATACTATACACCACCTCAAGCCAACATCGCCAAAAAGCTATAGAAAGTTTGGTGCTGTTTTGCCACTTGATACCATTCTCGAAATGTCGATCACCTAAGCAACGTGGCATGAAGTATCAATTTAGCAAGAAGTGTCTACAGCATGTCAGGAAAAAACTTCCACTTTTTGCAGATAGGGGAAAAGCAGAACAACGCTATGCTGCAACTTCGCCTCTAAGTAAAAATATCTTAAGCCTAAGGCATACCTCGCGCGATTCCGATCGCTGCGCAATTCGGCACAACACAACAGCGAGTCTTCATAATTTGTCGTTAATGCGCTGCCTTTGGTCGGAACTTGCTCCGTTTGCAACAGTTTACACAAGCTACCCAAATATGCTTCCGAGAAGCGCGCACAGTAAATTTGTAGAAATCTGGCAAGTCGCCAAGTCGCGTGAAAGTGGCCATTTCCCGAATTGCGTGAGGTATGCCTTGGGCCTTACGCATGTAGCTTTTGACTCCAAGGGATTGGCGGTTAGGAGGCGGGGCTTTGAGGTCTGTTCAAGGTAAGGAATGATCAGAGAGCACGCTCGCGAGAGAGAAGCAGACTGTGTCACAGGTGCGAGCGGTTGCCTTCCAACCGTCGATCCCGTTGAACCAAAGGATAATACTAAACGCAGTCAGATCAAATTATCGCGTACATGTGCACTCACTGTGTGATCGTGATTCTTTTTGAAGTTTTTTTCTTGATAAGATTTTTCAAGAACGCCAACGAGGAAGTGTACACATATTCCCGTTAACACTTTCAAGAGTGACGAGGGAGCTCAGAATGTCCCCACTTTAATCGTTGTTCTGCTTCCCAAAAATTAGGTCGGTCAGCTCGTGCCGATTTCAAACCCATTTTCGAGTCACTCACAGTGATGATAGACAAACGCTGTAAACAATGTTCGATGCAAAATCCCTTTTTCTTTTCGCAGTGGTGTTTTCTGATGTTTTCGTTGCGTGTGATTGTTTGATTAAACGCCAAAAATCATATTTTTTTAATGAACAAAAACTTCAGCTGTTTTTAACATTGGCATAGAGTAAACAAAATGCAATGCTATAAATTATCTGAGCTTCTTCAAATGACTCTCCTGCATTTTTCAAATCAATTTCCCAAAATTCTTTGGTTTTGCGGAATTGTATAATACACAAATTGCTAGAAAAAAGTTTTTCCAAAATTTTTGGCTTTCAAAGATCGTATTTAATTGAACACTAACTTTGCCAGGTAAGTGAACGTCTCTTGTTTTCAATGGAGAATTTTGATTTTCCTGAGCACAGCCTACGGCGCGTTAAAAAAACGATCATTATGAAAATTCTGCGACAAATCCTAGAAAAAGAAACATTTTGTGGAAAGAGGAGGTGAAGCTGCAACGAATGGCATTCTAGCTACCCACCTTTTGGTTTTCTGTAATTTTTGGGATGCTCAGATATGGAATTTGACAAAAAAAATATTCTGAATACTCACAAAGCCAGCCATAGATGTCAGAATTTCATCAAACAGAACACTTTCTTTGCTGCTCCATTTAAGTGTTGTCAAATCACTTCCAAAAGTCTCAAATGAAGATTTTGAAAAGTTGCTAGAATTAGGGTAAGTAGAGACCATGGGTGAAGATTTTGATGAAAAAAGTCTGCATTGACACTGTCCGGGACATTTGTCTTCAGTTACTCTAGGTGGTTCTAAAACAGGTGTGAAATCGGCACAAACTTTCCGACCTAATATAATAGTATCGAAATGGCGATGTTTTGAAAATTTACAATTTTGCCAAAAATGTGTAGTATTGTTCGTATGCATCGAATTCAGTCTTTTGAAGAGAAAGTGAACTCAGGTAAGTTGCTAAGTTATCCGATAGGAACAGATTCAGTCTTTGCTTGTGAGACCAAACAGAAACTATTTCGAAGTTTCAAAACTACGCCTCGCCTTCTCTTAGTAAGAAAATGTTTCTAAGAATAAGAAACTCTTATGAATCTTTTCTACAAAAACGCTTAGAAGGTAATGGTAACAGATTTGAGAGCATTTTTTAAATCAAAAAAATTGGTTAGCTCGAGAATTCATTCGTAAATAGAGAACTCAATACTTTTCAAATCGAAACCTCAATGAACTGGCAGAAACCGAGCAAAGCCACGTGTTTTAACGGCTTAAGAATTGTCCAATCTTGATGAGGCTACGGTGATTTGGGTTTTAAAATTTCTATATCTATGTCACTTAGTCAAAAACTGACTCTTCTAACAAGGGAAGGGTCACCGCGGCCATTCAAAATAATTTGTATATCAAAAAATGCGTCGTTTGATGCTGGTTCGAATACTGTTTTCCAATCTGCGAAACGATAATATGAATGAAGCTATGATTATTTTTCCATGAACAAACTGCGTTACTGCGGAGGGTCAAAGTCATCAATAAAATTTTTTTTCAAATGCTGAATATGATTTAGATAGGTACAACACAACAGCATTCCTTCTGAGATTCTCTTTAATAGTTTTAAGTGGTAACTTAGAACAAATTTGGTGATTTTAACCACACAAAAGTATGCAAACTTTCTACGAAAAAAGTTCATAGCTTCCTTCAGAAGATCGTTTCGCAGATATCGAGCACAGATTTGGAATCAGCGTTTCGAGTTGTACCTTACATTATACATCAAATTCCAAATGGCCATGGTGACCGAGTATCCTTTCCTTGTAAGACTATCAAGCAATTCGCTAATGTCTCTATCCGCTTGCACGATTAGCGTAGGTTTGACAAATATTTTTAGCCGGAATCGATCATAAGTTCGCAACAATCTAACATTACCCATTGATACTGCTTCGCATCAATCTTCGCTCCATATTGCAGTATCTTCGCGTGGAAAACGTATATGGCCTGCACTTTTCGGATATGGAAGATATCTTCAACAGAATTTCCCTCGTTTATGACTTTGCTACGTTACATAACATCACGGCTGCCGAAGATCATCGAAAAAGAATAGAGGATATCTTTCTGGATGTATTGAATGCCTTTTACAAAGCTACTGTTAACAGCTTGGGTAAGTTGACTCCGAAAAACAAGATTACTTTTGAAAGTTTGTTTGCGATGCTCACAATCGCATAAAAGCGCGATAAAAATTCCATTACGATAAACACTACACAAGCAGTTGAGAGTACTAGAATTTATGGGCTATTGGCGAAAAAGTTTTAGATGTTTATTAGTTTTTTTTCAAACCTTTATATTGCGAGCAGCTTGCGTACTTCTTGTTGCAGAATTTTTTCAAAAACGTACCTTTGGAAAGCTGTTTTTGAAAGTTGTTTTTCTATTACTTAAAGACCAGCAAATCATAGTTACAGCTGTGTAGTGCTTGTAAATGACAATGTGACAACTAGCCAATAGCATTGTCCAAATTTTTCACCGAAAAGCTGTTAAACTTTAGTGATACTTTTCAAAATGCCCTATTCATTGCTATCCCAGTAGTTTTATCACTTAAAACCCGCGTTCATCTTTCTCTTGAAGCCTGTATGCACGAATATCCTCGCGGGAAGGAGAGAGGGTCTGAGAGGGGATGCATCATATTTCGCTACTATACATAATGTACCCTTTCTTTCTTATCTATATTGTAAAGATTCACAAACCCTGATACATGAGTGTAATGGGTGACAGAACACTGTTATGCAAGCTAAAATTTTCACTGTTCTCTGCAATCCCATGGCGATCCAGGAATCACCACTCATTTTCAAAGCCGTTTATCTTTTCAATAACTCAATAAAACATTCTAAAAAGTGTAAGGACGATATAGTCTAGCATTACTTAACAACTTCGTAGTAGAACTGTGTGGGATTTTAGGATATAAGTTTTCAATGAATCGCTTTTTTTTATCCAAATTTACAACCTTCGGATTCCATCTTTCCTACTATCTTGTTCATAAGGTGCAAAGATAGCTCAAATCTTCTGTTTTCTCTCCCTATGGCCGTAGCCGTGGCCGTATTCATCATTGCTACGTAGGGTCAAATTTACTTTGAAGTATTAGTTCATACCCTAAAGGGCCGGACATACTTCACGCGATTTCAGTCGCGACGCGATTTGGCAATTTGCCAGAAGTCTTCAGATCCAACAATAGCAAACTGCGCATGCATAGTGTGTATAACTTACTTAGATTGATGAAACGCCCCATCTTTAGTACATTCAAACTTTGTTTACAATGAGTTATGGACACTTGGAATATTGCCAAATCGCGTCGCGACTGAAATCGCGTGAAGTATGTCCGGCCCTTAAGGTACAATCTACCTTAAGGCTGTTTTGTATTCATCAAAGTACCTCAAAATTGATTCTAGCTCAGTTTGCATGAAGTACAGTGACGCTCATTCAGGGCATGCCATATTCTCAGCGGTGTGTAAACTTCCTTATTGTTAATCTCTCTTTTCCACCTTCGTTCTGTGGTATATTAAGTTTAGGACCTTTCGTACGTAATGCTCGCTTTGCGTAGGTTGCGCCACTGAAGGAGCGGATGAGAAAGACAAGGAGAACATTAGGTGCACAGCTTGACACTCTTAAAAATTAATCTCGTTTTTTGTAATTTATCCCAAAACGGTCCTACGTGGAAATTTCCCAAATCTTAGATCGTAAATGCTTCAGTCTGCACTCTGGATCAAGCTGAGATTGACACAAAGCTTGTCCGCACTGCCATTATTTAACGTCAGGTCTGCGGTTTGCTGCAGTGGTCTGTCACGATTTTGTTTTTGCAACTCCGGCGCGCACGTGCAGCGCGCATGCAGCGCAGATCGCGACTTTTGCGAACAGGCGATTGAGCAAACGTCTGACTGATATTGAGAGGAACTATACCTAGAGTCACCTTCCACATGTCAAGACATCTACGCGATGGGTAGAAGACTATGCTGTCGAGAAGGAGCGGTCCTTGCGGTCATTTGCAGCAAACGCGCACCTTTGCATATGCCAAAGTTGCGTTTCTGCAAGAAAGCCGCGCAGGACCCTTCCACATCGGGCGACATATAATCCTCCACCGCTACTGCAGTGTTCTGCGTAGTCCGGTGCTTTTCTTTTCATGAGCTAAAAAAGCTTTTGCTATACAGATTTGTTGCTTAGGTTCGACTGCTTTTTCTTTCGCTTCTCGTGTATCTGCTTTCAGAGGAATTTTATAGAGAGATTTCGTTGCATATTCATACCTAGTGATAGGTTAATGATGCTATTGGTATTCGTTTAGATGCGCAACAAGTACGTGGCCAACTTACCGGGTTCAGTCTTCGTGGGCTAACTATGCTTACTCTGAAATGAGGATCTCTGCTTGCTTAGTGTATTCTAGTGTTACTGGATCAAAGAGCGCTGATAGGTGGCAAGGGGTGCCCCAAGGTTTTTCATTTACAAAATCCGCAGCTTTTGCGCTTCCAGGGATAAGATTTGAAGCCTGCATGAGGCATGTATCTTTCTAGCTGTTGGCTGCAATGGTGAGATCAAAATGAATCCTACTGCAATATAAGTTGCCTTGAAAAACTACCTCAAGGATTTACCTCAAGGTATAGTTTCGTACTCATCAAAATGTGTCTCTCAAGCATAAAAATACGTTTGCCAGCACTAACGTTTTTTCAGAGAATGGCATGGCGTACTTGCGGTGATTTGCTTTTTTTCATATCTGCATCATATTTACGCAAGGATACTTATGTTCTTAGAGTGTAAAGCGCTACAGTTTGTAAATGGAGAGGGTAGAGTCCGCATATTCAACAATTCTAGACTTCAAGACTCCATTCGGGAAATTATCTGCTTTTAGTAACAACTTACTTGAATTGGAAAAAAAATTTTTCTGCTGCGATGCCTGCCTGCCTAAAGAATGTTGCTCTTTTGGCATCGAACATTTTCCACATTTTTAACATCTAAATGTTAGTAAGTATGTGACTTATAGACTCTTGTGTTTGTGACCCGATGAAGCTAAAATCTGCTCCCCTATAAATAAAATACGGCGCAAAAGATAGGCTGCTTTTTGCGACGATTCGCTGTGCCCTTCAATCAATTTATCGATTTGTTTACTGAAATGCAAGGAAATAAACTCATCGATCATTCCTGGATCATAGTTGGATAAGCGGGGCGGTAAAGATTATTTACATTTTGCGGCGAGGAGGATCCGAGTCAGCGAGATAGCGAGATATATTGCAGAAGCCATATGGAGTGGGATGGTGAGTCTTCTTGACGCTTTTGGATTCTGGTGCTTTTCCACTGGCAGGGCCCGCTTCCAGGGCAGGACCGTGGACGCCATCTAGCACTTCAAAAGTGATTTTGCAGACAGTCGCAACTAAGGTTCTGTCTAGTTTATTAATGAGCTTAGAGTTGTTTCATACTGCATTCGCTGCAGCCAATAGACTGCTGCATAAAACAATCCTTAGATTATGACAATTTTTTCAAAGTTTTCTGAGTGTAAAGAGGACGCGCGATGTTTAGTGAAACATTTTTGCTGAACATTCTTTCCAAATCACGAAAATATGATTTTATCAAGACATTTTGGGATTTTAAAATAAAATTTTGTGGTGAAACGTTTTGTGAAGATTCCGATGTTTGCATTACAAAATTATACATCAGAGGCAACATCTAATAATGTGTATCGAAGTTGAATGGATGGAGGAAGCAAGTAAAGAGCAAAAGGTTGATGTTTTTCTGCTAGGATGTAAACTTTCTACCCCTTACTTCGCATTTTTAGAATCAAACCTCACTATCTGTTGAAGTGCTGGCCCACATGTTTCTGAGTGATACACCTTCAGTTGGATTTGAGTTGAGCAACTAAACAAGACTAAAGAATCGCGTTACACAAACGTCAACACTGGCTTTTTTTGAATACGGAGCTTGCAAAGCGATTGTTTTTGGCTCATACAATTTTAAGCTTGCGGTTTCAGTGTGCTATGCTCAAAATACTGTTTGATAGGATCTATGATGCTCATAATGCTGTTGAAGAGCAATTATAGGATGTGTTTAATTTTCTCTATTTCGCTACATCCGTTTCACAGGAGTTTTAAATCGCTCACAACATTTCCATAGGATTGAACAGAAGTGTAGTACCTTCTTCTTTACATGTCTATAACTCTAGCCAATCTCAAATTAGACAAAACTGCTGTAAAGGGTTCAGTTTTGTCACTGCAGTATTTGTGTGTAAAATCAGCCTCTAAAACCTTGTAGATATCTAAGAGCATCACTTATAAGTTTGCCTTTTGCTAGGATTAAAGCTTTTGTTGTGAATTACTGTGAGGTTAGGGTATCAAGTTTGATTGTTATGTATCAGAGCGGATGCAGAGAAGCTTTATCCGAGAGTGCAAGCCACAAGACTAAGAAGTGTACGACTGTCACGACCATATATAGCTAACTTGTTTACATAAACAAGTGACATATCTTATCATATCATTTTGCATATCATTCCTCAACACCTCCCTCCTAAGACAAAGATTATCTACATATATGTCTTCTTCTTAGGATTGACTTGAAGTTGATCAGGTTGCTTTCGGTGTCGAACTGGATACTTCTTAGAAATTGATGGCTTCTTCGGTGATGGTGACAGTGTGGATGATATAGGCTCTTGACTCGGCATATCTGCAACAAAGTATTGGTTTCCGGCTTTTCTTCTAGATGTTTGATTGTTTCTTCTTTGGTTACTGCACTTCAAATTTTCGTTGCGCATCTGATTTGCGTGTCTTCTCCAAAGAAGTTTATCTTTCGTCTCCACATCGTACAGAACTTTTCCTACGCGATTCTTTACTACGGCTGGAATCCAAAGTTGAAGTCTGGGGCGGTAGTCTCTGACCCAAACGCGTTCATTTCGATGGAAAGACTTGGACCTCGCTCCATGATGTCGATTGAATTGCTCTTCCATCTGCACATCATGTTTTCCTTCCTTCCTTGGTGGTTCATTTACAAGTGAAAGTGTTGTTCTGATCGGTCTTCCAAGGAACAGTTCGGCTGGTGAGAGGTTTCCAGGTAATGTAGCATTCGGTGTTCTTCGATAGTTTTGTAGAAAGCTGTAGATAGTTTTGTAGCTAGCCAACTTCTTTGACATCTCCTCTT